GCCCCGGCAAACCCCGGCTGACCCCCAAATCCCGACACGGGCGAGCTCCAGCCGCTCACCTACCTCCTCGGTGCCGCAGGCGAGGTCTTCGCGTGCCGAGTAACCGGGGCTGTGCCGAAGCCAGGGTGGCCAAGTAAGGTGAATCCCTCCTCCTGGGCAGCCGCTGCGCTTTCCCGGGATGTTGGGATGTGCTGACCTCTGGACTGGGATGCACCCAGTATGGCCCAGCCCTTCTGACTTTTACATCAGGCTCTATCCAGCAGTGAGGTTTTTTGGGGGGAGGGGATGGGACTCAGCACCCTTTTTCCCAGGGCGGGGAGCGCTTGAGCATCCCCAAGGCTGAAGGAGGAGCAGGCAGAGGACGCGGCCACGGCGCCCGTGGAGGGGGCCCCGGGTGCACGGAGACCCCGGGGCTCGCCGAGGCAGCGCCCGCAGCCCGAGTCCCGCAGCCGCGTTAGCGAGGGGGGATTAGCGGGCGCCGCGTGGGGCGCGGGCGTTCAAAACGGGATTAGCGTCGCCACGGCACGTGACGCTGGGGGAGAACAGCTCGCCGGGAACGCTGCCTTCCAGCCAGTCTGCCCAGCACCAAGCAAACCCCCCCGCTCCACCGGGCCAGGCAGCCCCCGAGCGGGCAGGATCCGGGCTCTCAGCTCTCTGAGCCCCATTTAACAACTTTTCATACTTTTGGGGTTCGTGGGTTCCCGCGAGCATGCTGGGGAGGACGCTCCCAGGACAGCCAGCTTCCAGCCATGAACTTTTCTGTGCTCCCCCATCCTATCTCCCCTCTCCCTCCCAAAATCTGGGAAATGCCAGCCCCAGGGTGGGGATGGGGGTTATCAGCACCTATCCCCACCAATGATGCTTGCCAGCTGCCCCCAATCTCCTTAACTCCTGCAAATGCCAAGTGCCACAGGCTGCAGGGGTTCTTGCCCATGAGAGCCGGCCTGATTAGATTTGAAATACTTAACAGAGTCCCAGAATCCCAGACTGGCAGGGGTTGGAAGGGGCCTCGGGAGCTCACCCAGTCCCACCCCCCTGCCCAAGCAGGCTCACCCAGAGCAGGGGGCACAGGACAGCGGCCAGGCGGGGGTTGAAGATCTCCAGAGAAGGAGACTCCACAGCCCCCCCGGGCAGCCTGGGCCAGGGCTCGGGCACCCTCACAGTCAACAAGTTCTTCCTCCCATTCAACTGGAACCTCTTCTGCTTCAGGTTGTGCCCATGGCCCCTTGTCCTGGCGCTGGGCACCACTGGGAAGAGTCTGGCTCCGTCCTCGTGACCCCCACCCTTGAGATATTTGTAGGTGGTGATGAGATCCCCTCTCAGCCTTCTCTTCTCCAGGCTGAACAAGCCCAGCTCCCTCAGCCTTTCCTCCTAGGGGAGATGCTCCAGTCCCCCCATCATCCTTGTTGCCCTCCTCTGGACTCTCTCCAGGAGTTCCTCATCTTTCTTGAACTGGGGAGCCCGGAACTGGACCCAGTGCTCCAGGTGGGGTCTGACTGGGGCAGAGCAGAGGGGGAGGAGAACCTCCCTGGGCCTGCTGGCCACGCTCCTCTTGATGCACCCCAGGATGCCCTTGGCCTTCTTGGCCACCAGGGCACCCTGCTGGCTCACGGCCACCTTGTCGTCCCCCAGGACTGCCAGGTCCCTCTGGGCAGAGCTGCTTCCCAGCAGGTCATCCCCCAGCCTGTCCTGGTGCCTGGGGTTCCACTTCCCCAGGGGCAGCACCCAATACTTGCCCGTGTTGAACTTCATCAGGTCACCTACCTCTTGCACACACATATATACGCACACATCCGTATATTCATATGCATACTTCTGCTATAACCCTCTCTCAAGCCCTTTTTTCCTCTTTTTTGTTTTGTTTAAAGCCCTCCCCCCCCCATCTGGTGGCTCATTTGTGCTCCTGGAGGCAGTTGGGGCAATAAGCCAGGAGGGAGCAGGAGCAGGGCCAGTGTCACTGAGGGGCTGCGTGGCACGGCCGCCACCTCCTCTGCGGAGCCGGGGACCCCAGATCACGGCCAGGTGCAGGAGTGGGGGCCGGGGAGGTCAGCGAGGGGCCGGAGCGCGAGCGCAGTGCACGCAGCCGTGTGGGGAGCGCACGTGGCCCCCGGCACTGGATTGGACCCGCTAGGGCTGGACTGGGTGATGTCTGAGCCTCAGGGAGAGCCCAAATCTCCTCCTTTCTCCCCATCCCCAAATAACACCTCTCAGAGTGGGTTTAGCAATAGGTTGGGGCAGGACCTGACGTCCCTCCCTGTCCCCTTTCGAGCCGGCTGGCCCAGCCTGGGCAAGCACCGCTCAGCCCCCAGCAAGCCCAGCACCCTGGGGAAAGCCCCCAGGGCAGAGGAGAGGCCAAGGCCCCTGTGTGCCGGGATGCGTCCCCTTCCCTTGTGCGTCCCAGATCCGCACTGCGCGCCCTGGGATCCGTGTGACCGATCCATCCCTCCGGCCGGGGGCTACACCGCCCATGCTTGCAGCGCGGTGACACCCAGGACCCCGCGGTGGGAGGTTGCTGGTACCTGCGATGCTACAGGGGTGCCCGGAGCACCCACAGCATGCGGCACCGCACAGCACCCATGACATGCGACACCGCGCAGCACCCACGGCGAGCGCCTGGGCTCCCAGTGGCCACAGCAATGCCGCGTTCCCCCAGCTTGCAATGACATCTAGTGGAGCTGCCTTGGGAAATCGCTCCGCCCCAGCACGCCCACGGGCCGTCCAACCGTTAACCTCACCCTGCCATCCCACCACTAAACCCGGGCCCTCAGCACCTCATCTCTCCTCCTTTTAAATCCCCCCAGGGATGAGGACTCGACCACCTCCCTGGGCAGCCCCTTCCAGAGCCTGACAGCCCTTTTGGGGAAGAAATTTTTCCCAATGTCCAACCTAACCCTGCCCTGGCACAACTTCAAACCATTCCCCCTCGTCCTATCGTCCATTACCAGGGAGAAGAGGCTGACCCCCACCTCACTACAGCCTCCTGGCAGGCAGGTGTAGAGGGTGATTTCCCCCTCCAACCTCCTCTTTAAATGCAGGGGTGGTGGGCAAGAGCCAGCACCCCCTTTCCACGCCATCGCATGGCTTCCCAGGAGCCAAAAAAATCACCTCCAGCCTGTGCCGAGAGCGATGCAAGGCGTGTGCTTACCGAAAAGCGGGGGATGATGATCATTCCCTTCCATCCCCAACCCCAGCACCAAGAAAGGCTTCCAGGGTGTCCAAATGCCCTTCGGCAAAGCCAACGGGTCCTGGAGGAGGTGGCTGGTGGCAAAGCAACCCTGCTAAGCCACAGCAGCACTGGTTCTTCTTCCTCCCAAGGCAAGAAGAAAATAAAATATTGGAAAATATAAGGGGAAAAAAAAAAAAAAGAAGGGGATGACCGTAGGGTAGGAAACGGCACGCTCTAACTCTGTCTAAATTCTGGCGGGCCGCTGTGCGCTGCCCC